TTTCAAAATTTAAGTTCCCATAATATAAACAATCAATAGGCAAAGTTTCACAAAAATTTCAGTGCAGGTTCTATTTCAGTGGAATGACCTTAAGACATTGAGCCAAAGAGGAAAATTTAAGGTGGTGTTGAACCCCATAAACAGAAAGGGTTTTTAGTAGGTCACACTGTTGCTATGGTAACTTATTGTGTCACGAAAATGATAACAACGTATCTACCAATGATTGGACAGTCTTTTAATACCATAATAGCAGCATCAACTGCTAAAGTGAGGTAACAATGATCCATCCAAATCTAAATCTTGAAAAGTGCTGGAAACTGCTTCGAGCCACCTAACTATAAAATTTCTTACATAGATTATAGTACCGCAAATAGTTATCACTAGGCTGATTTAGCAAGAGAACGGAAACGTCACTTGACGACAGCGCGCGCACTACAAGTACCCAAATATGGTCAAATTAGAACAGAATCCAGGTTATTCCGCGCGCCCCGCAGTCGTCATCTGACGTTCCCGTCCTGTTGCTAAATCAGCCTAATATTAACTGCAAGCGCTGAACTTAGAGTTTATTTTGACGCATCCTGTTTTGAACTTCCGGGCCTTGGATGGAATAGGGTTGAAACATTTCTGCCTTATTGTGCATTTATTACCCTTTTTGTTCCCTCTATATCTCTTCTTCTTATTATTAAGTCACAAAAACTATGTAATTTTTCACTTTACATCTCGACCTCCCGCCACCGAAAAAGAAAGCGGTTTCGCGACAAGTCAGATAATTGCGGCAAAGGCTAACTACATTTGATTAAAAAGTTGTAAAGTTTTCTATTATTATTATTATTATTAATATTGTTATTATTTTTATTACTGCTATCATTATTAGAGTGGTTTTCAATTGAGCGTTCTAAAACCAAAACCGAACCGATTACTTACTAATTACATTAAGATAAATTGAACAAAATAAATAAACAATCTTTATAAGAGGAAGCGCCCGTCACCTAAACACGTGGTTTTCCTGGAGGTCCTCCATAAAATAGAAAGTGCAAAACAAATATTCGGGGGAAAAATTAAAATGCAAATACTGAAAAAGGTACAAGGATAATAGAGATATAACAATGAAGATAAAACCAAGACCAACGTAAATGTTTCGACACTCAACTGAAAACCGCTCTTTTAGAGCTGTTTTCAGATGTGTTCACTGAACCAAAACCAAACCAATTACTTACCAATTCTGAGACTACTCAGCCAATTTCAAACAGTAGTAAACCAAAACCAAAGTAATTGCCTGGTTTCTTTCGACAATTATTATTATTGTTACTGTTACTAGCATCCTAGTTACTCGTCAATTTTCAAAAATATATATCCCCTCATCAGTTTTCAATTCCTAACAGTTGCATTAATTCCTTGCATTCACGTTCAATTATTCTGTTCTGCTCTGCTGGAGCACTGCGCCATTTTTCGACATTTGCAGTAGAATTGCGAACAGAGGAAAAGCTCTTGCCAGATTCCCTAGCCAGTGCCTCTTCACTTGGACTTGTGTTAAAAACAATCCATTTAATCAAATCCTCTGAGATCTGAAACCCGGCAAAGCTGTAGATTCGCATTGCAGTTTTAACAGGGCTCGTAGCTATGTCACGATAATACACTTCCATATATTTGTCTTGGTATTTCTCGGGCAGGTTTCTTCCGTATTTCACATTCTCCGCTATTTTCTCGCACGGATATCGTACCTGACGTACAAACCCGGGGGATGTGTGTTTTGGTAGCCATCCCAGTTGAATCCTGGAATTCAGGCTCCCACGTGGGTCTCTGAGTATTTGAATGACTTTGACGTCAGTATCCAGGTTATCTAAGAACACTTGCGGGACGATACTTGACAGCATCTTGTCAGGCACGCGAACTTGGGCCACCTTAGTGACACTATGTTTGTACATTGTAAGGCAACGTTCCTGGGCGAATTTTGGCATTTGTAAGAGGTTTGGGCACGAGAGTTGACCCGTGTCCGAGACGTTGCAAAAGTTTGGAGTCTGGAACGGGTTCTTAAAACGAGCGGCTGCCCAGTTTCTCGAAGTATGGCCAAGAAATAGTTTTGCCATGGGAAAATCTGGAAAATTGCAGCTAAGGATCCCATTCACCAACTCCAGCTCGCTTTTTGACCAGTCTGTCTCCGGCTCGGCCTTTCTCAATCGCTTGGTCACCCAGAGAGGCTCGTAGATCATGAATACCTGAGGATCTTCGCTAAACATTCGGCTGATAAACGTTGTTCCCGAGCGGTCGGCTCCGTAGATCAGCAAACTTCGTCTGCGATCGGAAGAATCCGACGAGGTCGTCGGTGTCGTTGGGAAATTATCCCGGCGGGTCTCGGTTGTTGAGGGGACATCTAAGTCAATAAAATCATCCTTATCCGAAAGAGGATCACTTTTCGTGGGTTCGTTTCCAGAATTCGATAAAAAGGAAGTTTGAAGAGTCTTGAAGGAATCTGTAACAATGGTTTGTTGTTGGTTTCCGTAAAGCAAATCCGCGACCAAGAAGACTGCGCAAGCAATAACCACGGCAAACAATAACCGCAGAGAGAAGCGAAAATGTCTCATCGTTTGGCACTCTGCAAAAAAGACAAAGAAAAATTAATTGTTGTTTACCTTCTTCAGTTGAAGGGCTTTTAATTTTCAGATGTCAGAGTTATCAAACTTAAGATCGATGGCCCTTCAAAAACTAAGATTCGAAAGTGACAAAGAGAATAACTTCTGAAATGTAGTCTGGTAAAAACCTTTCATTGAACAATTCAATTCAATATGTTCCCAGGTTCATAGTCCTTTTGGTCAAAGATGTTGCTATGGTACCCTATTTTGTGGTACTAGGGTTTTATTACTCGCCAGCGAAATTTGCAAATTGAATGTAAATTGAAAAAATTTTCTATTAGAAAAAAGGGAATATGTAGATGGTAACATGATCGTCGGTTTTTTTCACGTTCTGCTTTGAAAGTGCTGAAAGCATTGACCGCGCGTCTTGTAGGCTCTGCTGCCCAGTTTCACTCTCTCTCTCCCAAGTCTCAATAAATCTCACCAGTCTCTTCCCGGTCTCATTCACGCGCGCTAGCAAAAAATACTGTTTTGTAGTGTAGCGAATATGCGTCAAACGTCCTACTTTGTTTGTAAAGGTACAGGTGATGTACAGTCCTGATCAAAAAAAAGGTCTCTCAGTTGTCAGAAAGCGTACATCGTTAAGTTCCCAGTGGATCAGGCGCCGCTTCTTAGAACGAACGTTAAAAGAACGTCATGGCGACCAAAAAAACCGGAGAAGTCAAAATCCCGCTAGATATTAGCTTCAAAGTTATTCCATTCCGTCACTAACCGTTTAGATTTAAACGTTTGTTGAATTTTCGCGGTAATTGTTCATAAAATATAATCTTATCTAGAAAAATTTTGAGCGTTAATTTATTTGTGTGAATTTCGATGTTCCACATTTTAACCTCTAATAGTCGCTCACTACGCTTTCCAATTTCAACATCAAATACGTTCTACATTTAGTTCCCTGATTACATACTTATGGATACTAAAAGAGAGGATCTGTGATAAAAGCTACTTTAATTTATAGATCTTCTGACTGTCTTTTGTATGAATGATGATGGCGGTCGGCCCCCCAGCTTACAATTCGCCTTTAAATTTTGCCAGATGAGAGCGTTCATAGAAAAGCTGATCCGAAAAAAATTTACGCCTATAAGGAGCCGGGAACTGCATGAAAATATTTAACTTTCTAATATCTTATTTTATTTAATTGTATGAAAGATAGTAATATTTACTACCGATGCCTTCAATAATGCTCGAATTTATTTATCATTTATTCATTGAAATGCTCGTCATTTTACCTTCATGTATTTGGTAAAAGTAAGTTTTTAATTAGCCGCATTTTTTTGATGATAGTTTTAAGGATGTTACAACGACAGTGTAAGTTTAAAAGCCAAGGAAATGTCGTTCATTCCTTGTTTCATGACTTCGCACGATGATTAATAACCCATTGATCATTCGAATGTCAAGAATTGACGGGAAACAAATTGGAAATTTACGAAAACTCGGGCTTACCTTTATTCGATATGCTTTCCACTCCGGCTTCAAGTTTACTCCTTCAATTCACAGCCATGGTCGTATAACTATATACCGCAGACCAACCTTTTTATGAAGTCTGAATTACAAACTAGGAAAACAAAACAAGTATCTAACTCAAAAGAATCTAGATCGTAAAATTCCTTAACGAGGAGAAAATTGTTAGCGAACCATTAAACGGAAGCAAGTGCTATTGAACTCTCTATAGGCAAATAGACCGAACTAAAATACACTATGCAGAGCACGAAATTTGTGTAAGAAAATCAATACAGCTGCATTTTTTCATCGATAGCTCCGTAGCTAAGAAACGGTGTCATATTTTGCAATGATAAATTTTTCTTACAGGTGGGAAACATTTTAAAATTAATTTTATTTAGAGCATACGTGTCTCGCTGTACACGAGGGATTTAAATGGCTTCATTTAATCTCGTTCAACTATTTTGAAATCTGTTTCAATATGCTCAATGTTATAAATAAATTATTTTTTAGGTAACTGGTTGTGTTTTCAGTTAGGTACCAAAATAAGACAAAAGAGAGCATATTAGTTGAAATACTGAATAAAGAACAAAACATTATACAATAACCGTCTAATTTCCCGCGCGCTGATTGGCTCATTTTTATCATCAATAAGAGTGCAGACGGATAAAATTTTAATTTATGCAAACTCTGAAGTTCAACTATCAGCTGTAAAACTGTCAACTTTTTAACCAATGAGTTTTTATGGACTTTTTTAAGTAGCCAATCAAAGAGCGAGGAACGCTATTGACAATGTTCGCGTCGTTTTGAATAAAATCCACTTATCTTTGTTTACGGCAAGTTTACGCGTCTTTTCCCCTCATTTATTCCAGGCATTTGACCAGTTTGGGGTCTTGTTATTGTAAAAAACAAATTGAGATCAGTTTTTATGCGTCTGTCCTCTTATTGATGATAAATTGCGTCATAACATTGTCAAAGTGGCTGTGGAACCACCAGTCGCAGGCGAGTGGTTCCGCAGTAAAGACAATGTTATGACGAAATTTATCATCAATAAGAGGACAAACGCATAAAAAAACTGACGTCAATTTGTCAATTCGATATCATTAATCGCACGTGTGCTGCGTGTGTGCCACATTTCGTAATTGATTTTTTCTGGGCTCTGGTACCTCTAGCCAATGTACGTGTGTCAGACTTAATTCTGGCTGGGAGAGACATTTTTTGTGAAGTTTGTTGTCATTCATTGTGGGGTTATGGGGGATTTCATCAGGTGCTCGAGTTTTCTTCATTTGCTAAACGGTCTAACTAGATCAGTCATCGAGCTGGGCTAAGTGAAGAAGGAGTGAATGAGCGTGTGCGTGTGCGTGTGCGTGTGCGTGTTGTGTACAACTGCATGGTCAAGACTATTTTTAGAACAATCATGGTCGCAGCAGCTGACCCGCCTTACTCTCCCCTCGGCCCTCCCCCATCAATATATCTCTTTTTTAGTATAAATCTACTAGTGTTCTATTATGAGTGCCACTCGCTGATTGGCTACTCTACCCACGGTCAATTCTGCTGCAGATAGTGAGTAGCCTAGCGGTGTGTGCTTGTTGACGAACTAGCGTCCGCTTCTTTGCGTTTTGAACTACTAGTAGATTCATACTAAAACAATTAGATTATGAGCTCGAGATTTCTATCGCGTTTAATAGAAAAAGTATCAGTGTTTTGATTTATTAAGTTAGTCTTTCCAGATGAAGAAGATCTAACAATTCGCCGCATTCTTGTTCAATAATGCGAGTCCTTTCTATAGGGGATTCCTGTCGCCATTTTTCAACATTCGCAGTGGAATTTCGAAACGATGAAAACGCTTTTTTGGCCTCTTTGTCGAGAGTTTCTTTATTTGGATTTGTTGCGTGTATAATCCATCGAATCAAGCTCTCTTGCATCTCAAATCCAGCAAACTTATAAATCTTCATGGCAGTCAACACAGGCGAGAAAGCGATGTCCTTATATTTGACCAACATGTAGTTGTCCTTCAAGCTTCCTTCAAGACTCGTGCCAAATTTCACGTTCTGTATGATTCCTTGGCATGTGTCCTTTGGCCAGGCAGCGAAATTTTTTGCTTTGTCGACTTCTTTGATCCATCCAAGGTTAATCCTGGAGTTTATGGAACCTCTTGGGTCGCGAACAACGTGTAAAATCTTGATTTCAGTGTCTGGATTGTCATTAATTATCCTCGGAAAGATGTTTGATAGCTTCCTCTCTGGCACGCGAACAATGGCGAGTTTGGTGACACTGTGCTTATAATGGCTTGAACAGGCTTCTTCTACACGTCTTGGCACCGTTTCAGGACTTGGGCAAGTTGTTTTTCCTTTCTCAGTCCCGTTACATATTGGAGGAGATTGAAACGGGTTTTTAAATAATCCTGGAGCCCATTTTCTGGAGGCGTACGCGAGGAATTTCATAGCAGTCGGATTATCCACGAAGTGGCAGCTCATAAGCGCACTAACAACGTCAGTAACATCTTTCACTTGGTCTCTATCAGGCTCGGTCGCTCGCCATTTTCGAGTTATCCACAATGGTTCGTACACTGAAAAAATGTTTGAATCTTCGCTAAACATTCGTGTCAGAAGTGTAGTTCCTGAACGATCATCTCCGAAAATCACAAGACTTCGTCGTTTGGGTTTAGTCGTCGGGTTAAGTTCGGAACGCGTAACGTCTTCGTTAGACTGTCGGACATCTTCAGAGAGTATTCGCAGAGATGGGCTAATTGCGTCGATTGGTAATTTATCTTCATTGCTGCGAGGTTCAAGTTTATTGACATAAGATTTATGGTTGGCACGGAGCATCGTAAATGTTGATATGGTTCCTATCAGCAAAAGAGTCGCGAAAAAGATACGGAAAATAAAACGAAAACGTAAAACGGCCATGTGGAATAATTAACTGGGGTCTGAAAGTAAAACATAAAGTAAAATGAAGTTAGTAAGACCACTATAAGGGAAGATTGAAATCAGGATTTACTTTACCTCTATATTAAATAATGGACTTTGGTTTGAACACAGCCTATGCAGGGATAATCAGTAAACTGATGAACGAGTTCAATACGAATTGAAATCTTTCATTTTGGAGTGTCGTAACCTTCACTGCGACCTCTTTCGCTATAGACTGATACAGATGGCGGAACATTTAAGAATTAGGCAGCGAACCTTCGTTTAATGAAAGCGTCGAGACTATCAGTGGGATTTCCTTTTTGTAGTTCAGTAGAGTGACGAAAACTAAAGCTTCTTTTCAGCTGTTATGTTAGGGACATTCAACTCTGTGAAGTACATCTTCCTATCTTTTGCTCAGTTGTAAAGCAAGGCTAACTGGTTGTAAAACGTTCGTAAACTCGCCATTTACGGTAGCTAGCGAGATCGGCTCACTCGACAAAGTCAATCTTTATACTAAATTACTTCCGATGATTGAAAAAATATAGGAAAGTTACATTTAAAATAAAGTAGAATAGTTGGCGCTGATTATTGTAATTGTGTTGCGGTGTACTTTCAAACGTGGCCGATTTTATTTCAACAAACAGCTTAATTACATAAACTTAAAACGAAATTAAAACCTCTCAGTTTAAAATTGAGAATTTTACTGACGTTAGTTTAATTTTAAAACTGATGTTTCCCTGATCTGAGATATGATCGCACTTGAGAACTTAACTCACAAGCGCTAAATCCAGAAGGAATATGAATTATAAACATATCTTAAATACTAAATAAGAAAACGTGCGAAATTGTTTTAACAGTGGGCTGCTTTATCGCAAGCACACTTCTTTGCTGTTTTTCAATATTGTATTACCTTTTTGCCTAAACACTGCAAGAACTACATATTAAGGTAAACATATTCCTTCATATTCTCACACCAGCGAAGTCGAAGGGCCTTCTCTGCTCGCATGACATTCAGGTTTTAAATTAAAAATTGTGCCATTTTGGTTTTTGATGGTTAATAACCTGATATGTTATCTCGCTCTTCCTAGAGGTGTATTGCCGGCAAGAGAAAATCAAACGGTTCACCTCGTGTATTAATTTTCACTTCAAGGAGTTCAGTGTGCTTTAAAACCAAACTAAACGCAGAACTGACAATTGAAATACAAGATGTGTAACTGTGTAGTTTAGATGTAAAGAGCCTCCAAAACCCACTGAGGTTTGAATCGTTGTGTAACACTAATGTTAAGTCTACATTGCCAACTGTACCTTCTGCAAGTTTCGATTTAACTGCTCGGTGTTCTGCTTCGCTGATAATTCGCCAGTCGGACGGAGAGATTAAATCTACACAGATACAGACCTCCAAGAACTGAATAAGTAATTTTCCGTAAAGTGCTTGAAATTCGCCTCACACAGTATCAATAGAATCCATAGAAACGTGTATTAGCCATTCAAACCTCCATGTGTAATTTTTCCTTTATTTATTTCTATTTTTAATTACGCTTCTTGCTTTTGAAGCCGAAAACCTGTCTGACAGTGACCTTAGAGGTTAACTGAAAATATCAGAAGACCAATGAAACTATTTCATTAAAATTTCCGCCCGACTCTTCAACCTCTTTTGAAGCAATTTGAGCTCTGCTCTCTGACAGCCTGACAGTTTGAGCCAACGTCTAATTGTCCAGCAGGGTTGCTAGGAGCTTAGTTTGTGAGCATACGCCTGAATGGAGAAATGGAGAAAATGAAATGAAATGGAGAAATGGAGAAAATCCGTGTTCCCTGATTGGCTGACTGACAGGCCAGCTTTGTTCAGTAATTTTTAAAAGCATATTTTCCTTTATGACGTGCCGACGATCGGTTGCTATTGAGTTTTTGACTTGTACTGTTCATATGAATATTCTGATTAATTCACACTCAACACGTGAGGAAAATTAATTTCGCGCTTTTTTTTTGCTCTTTCGACGCTGCTGTAAGAATAAATTTCCCTAGTTTTTTTGTGCTAGTTAAAAATGTTCACCTTTCAGCAGGGGAATAGCGTGTATTTTCCCCGGAGCACGCACTGAAGAGAGAGTCATAGCGGGTCTGACATTGTTATTTTTAGGAGCTCGAAAATGCCATTTCCCTCGCTTTCCAGGGAACAGTTTCATACATCAAAACATGGAAAAACATTGAGTCTTTAGTAACTTATGTTGTTTACATATCAACCTTCATTAATAAGAGAGACTAAAGACCGATTTTATTATGTACCGGTAATACGCTTTTCGTCAATAAATGTACTTTTCTGTATTTCTCAAGGTTGCAAGTCCGTACTTACGTAGGTAGCCGCTACTTCCTTGCTTTGTTGCTTTTAGCGTGAGGGTGTTATAAGAATATCGAGGCTGAAATTTGCGAAATTGGTAAATACAATACAATTGGTAAATACAATACAATTATATGTTTTTAACTAAACCGTATAAAATTCTTCCTATCTCTAAGCGGCAAAACTGGCCAAAAACCATCAAAAACAGCACTAGCCGTATGTTCGATTCTGATGTCGTTACGTTCAAGACGTTATGTGCGTGACATCAGGCTTAAAATTGGCTGCAGGCTGGCACCAACATTCAGACACCAAATTCACTCGGAAACAGAAATACCATATTCTATAATCTAAGAATATTCACAAGAATACTAAAATCGGAAGAATCGAACAGGAAAAATAAGAATATTGAACCTCGGCCGGAAAAAACAGTTTTCGTATATAAAAAAAGAGTGTCTATTGAATTAAACAGCGTTATTTCTTCAACAGAAGATTGACTAACACTGACCAAATTAAATACGCGACTTACCAAACGTGTCCTCGAACAATCACAAGTCAGTAATTTGTCAGTCCCTGTTTTTGACCTAGCTGGCATTAATTCCTCAGGCCCTTGCACATTGGGCAAGTGGGAATGAATCGTTACTTGCACAGCAGGAATACCTACTTGCCCTGGACAACCAGACAGCACTTTTTTGAGCCCTGTCAAGACACATGATGCCTTGTCTTCTTAATGTTGATCTTCAGGCCTAAATACCCTGCCTGCATGTCCTGGTATGGCGCAGAATCCTGGAAGATGACCAAAACCATCAGCCACAAGCTAGAAGTCTTCCAGCACAAGTGCCTGCGCAGGATTCTCCGTGTATACTGGCCCCAGACAATCTCAAAATATGAGTTGCGCAGAAGAACAGGAACAGAACCAATCACACAGCAAATCCGGCGAAAGAGAAGGAAATGGATTTGTCATGTGCTGCGCATGCCACCAGCAGCACTACCACGAGCTGCCCTGATGGCCGTAGAAAGAGAGGCAGATCGAAAGAAATATGGAGGAGGACGGTGGAGAAAGAGATGAAGGAGAACAGCTGGACATGGGGTCACCTGGAACGACGAGCACCGGACAGAAGCTAATGGCGCTCTTTGGCCGAGGCCTTATGTGTTTCGAAACACGAAGAGGATTAAGCAATTAAGTAAGACACAGCCTTTGCCTTAACACCTTTACTAACCTTCAAAGATTTTTAAATTCAATTAAGGTTTGATGCTAGTTCAAAACTGTGAGTATGTGGTTTGATCAACCACGGTGACTTTGATCAAAAAATTCCATAACATTGCACTTTTGTTCTTCCCAAAAGCCGTGGAATAATTACAACTAAGTTTTTTAAAATATCTTTATACAAGTTTACATCAATATATTAAATATGAATACGTTAAATATCTATAAACAAATCTTACAAGTTAAGTGTTATGCTAAAAGTCGATAAAGATATTGAGAGATTCTAATTTGTGTTTAAAACCTCTCATGGATTTTTCGTATTTCATTTCATCTGGTAATACATTCTAGATTTTTGCCCCAGTAAAATAATTTATTAGATTCTCGTCAATCTGGCTTTAGATCTCTCCACTCAGCAGTGATCGCTCTTCTTGATCTTACCAATCAGTGGTGTTTTAATATTGATAGGGGACTGACTGGTTAGTGGAATTTTATTCTTAGATCTCAAGAAAGCCTTTGACACAGTAGACCACAAGCTTTTACTAACAAAATTAGAGTATATTGGAATTCGCGGCCATGCCTTGGAATGGTTTAAATCCTATTTGTTAAACAGATTTTAAATCTTGCACACAAACGGAGTACTCTCCGAGAAAGCCATTCTAAGGTGTGGAGTTCCGCAGGGCTCGATTCTTGGGCCACTTTTGTTCCTAATATATATTAATGATCTTATCACTATAGCCGATTATGCTACCGTAAGAATATACGCAGATGATACTAATATGACTTTCACTGCTTGCAGCATCCCTGAGTTGCAACACGATATGAATATGGATGTACAGTTTCTCCAAAATTGGCTAATAGCCAACAGACTATAACTTTAAATGTTTTTAAGACAGAATTTATGCTAGTAGGGTCAAGGCAAAGAATAGCGACTCTTACACAAGAACTTGATCCCCCCATAAACGGAATTTCGCTTAAAAGAGTAAATAGTAGCAAATGTCTTGGTGTAGAAATTGACGAGTTTTTGACATGGGACGCTCATATTGTATCTAAAAAAGTATCATCTGGTATAGGAGTCATAAAGAAGATGAAGCCAGTTGTTCCTACCTCCAATCTGATAAGTGTTTACCAGTCAATTGTTGAACAATATTTAGATTACTGTAGCGTTGTATGGGATGACATCAGTGACCAACTCACTGACAAACTTCTAATATCACAAAATCATGCTGCACGAGGAATCACAGGTGCCAATTACCCGGGTATGGGGTATTAGGGTATAACAGTATTAGGGTATGGGGTATTAGGGTATAAGGGTATTAGGGTATTGGGGTATTAGGGTATTAGGGTATAAGTGTATTAGGATAAGGTGTATTAGGGTATTAGGCTATGGGGTATTAGGGTGTAAGAGAATTAGAGTATTGGAATATTAGGGTATAAGGGTATTAGGGTATTGGGGTATTGGGGTATTAGGGTATAAGGGTATTAGGGTATGGGGTATTAGGGTATTAGGGTATTAGGGTATGGGGTATAAAGGTATTATATAATAATCAAATCAATGCGCGCGCTCTGATTGGTCAATCAGCTATTGTTTATTGTGCCAGTAAACTCATGGAAATTTCGCGTGTCTTCTGAATTATTATGTAAAAGCAATAGACCACAAGTTTTTTATGGTTTATAGGCTGATAAACTACGCTGGATGTTGGAAGAACACTCAAAGAATTCGTAAATCACTCGCCTGCGGCTCGCGATTTACGAATTCTTTGAGTGTTCTTCCAACATCCCAAGTGGTTTATCAGCCTATAAACCATAAAAAACTTGTGGTCTATTGCTTAATTAGGGTATAAGGGTATTAGGGTATAAGGGTAATAGGGTATTAGGGTATTAGGGTATTAGGGTATTAGGGTATTAGGGTATTAGGGTATTAGGGTATTAGGGTATTAGGGTATTAGGGTATTAGGGTATTAGGGTATTAGGTTTATTAGGGTATAAGGGTATTAGGGTATTAGGTTTATTAGGGTATAAGGGTATAAGGGTATTAGGGTATTAGGTTTCTGAGGGTATTAGGTTTATTAGGTATAAGGGTATTAGGGTGTTAGGGTATAAGGGTGTTAGGGTATTAGGGTATTAGGTTTATTAGGGTATTAGGGTATTAGGGTATTAGGGTTTTAAGGTCTTAAGGTATTAGGGTAATAGGGTGTTAGGGTTATTACTGGGTATTAGGGTATTAGAGTATTAGGGTAATAGGGTATTGTCGAGTTATTTGGGCTTACGATAGTCTTCAGTGAACAACACGTGCTTACTTCAAGACGCCATCTTTAGTAACCAACATGCATCTCGCACGTAACTAACTTGAACAATACTTCAGGTAAGCTAACACAACAGGTATAAGGGTATTAGGGTATTAGGGTATTAGGGTGTTAGGGTATTGGGGTATTAGGGTATTAGGGTATTAGGGTATTAGGGTACAAGGGTATTAGGGTATAAGTGTATAAGGGTATGGGGTATTAGGGTATGGGGTAAAGGTAAAGGTAAAATCTTTATTCAGACACGGTATTTCCTTCAGGACTTAACAATACTGAATTAAATTAGTCTAACTACCTAACTAATAAATCACGAATTACTACTACAATAAAGGAAATGATAAAAAAACCTGCTTTACAAGGAAGCCGTGTATTAAAGCAAAATAAAACTTACATAAGACTACCATCAAAATCATAATTCTTCAACTTACAGATTTAAATTCATCAGGAGAGGGTGACTAACGAATATCCAAGGGTAGACTATTCCACAATACAGCTCTGCTGTATAGGACAGACTTCTTTTACAATAATTAGTACATCGCTGTGGAATGGCAAGCGAACAGTAACTATATCTTAAGGACGTTCTGGCTAATTGTTTCTGCGCAACCTTACTGCGCACACAAATTTACACGCCAAGTCTTGCATGAGAGCGCGCGCTAAGTAATAAAATGAACAATGATAGGGTAGATGGCCATTGCTATAGCTTTGCCTGGATTTAACGATCATGGACGTTTGGTGACCCCTACTTTTCTTTCCGGAAACAGATTTTATTTACAATTATCTCCACATTGTCCAAAAATGAACAAAAATCAATGTGGGAAGTTAAAACATTTTTCAAGATTTCTGTCCATGGGACATCGAATCCTGCCATCTTGCGGCTGCAAGGCGCGTGAAACTATGGTCGCTAAATGCGAACTTGTTCTTTAACGAACCTCACCAGTTGACTAAATTCACTTAATAGGTCCACTTAAACAATATTTGGCAGAGAACATGCAATAGTTTTCGGCTTAAAGACACTTCAGACCTTATTCGCTAACGAAGCCCGATTTTTTCAGATTTAGGGTGTTCTTCGGGGCATGTTCCCTCCAAAACGAAGTCGGTGACCCCCCATTTTTTACATTTCTGACATAACTAACTCATCATCTTACAGTGATAGAAGTCTCAAAAAAAGATCAATGTTGGAAAATTTTCGCGGGAACGTCCTTAAGCCACGAAGTCCTTGTGAAGAACGACAAACAATTTGTATCGAATATTTACTCAATCTCTCTAGGTCACCTTCGCCGCGATGTTTTGACCATGTAATGATTCATTCCTGAGAAGCTTGAAATAAGGCTGCGTTTTAAATTAAATCGCGTCTTGCCGTTTTCAAATAGGTAAACTCCTTTGTCGTCTTCTCCTCGCGAATTTCCTTGAATGTGAACTGATAAATGGAGTTTACAACAGTAACCTCGGTCAAGATGACTATGTGATTTTGTGTGCTGAAGAATTAATGAGGAGTTTGTAAAACAAATAAGTCGTAGGCATAGAAGTGTTTACAAGAAAGGCTTATCTTCGATAAACCACAATGACGCAATTTATGGAACGAAAAAAAGCTCGAAAAAGTGGCTAGTTAGGAAATGTTAGTGCTCGCTTATGGAAGGTTACAAAATGTAGTGCCTGGATATGGCTAAGACCATAACTAAACGTCCGACTCGCAGAGGAGCTCGAGAACAGTAAGTTCTTCTACTGCATCAAGACTACAGCTTAAAAAAAAAATCATTAAAACCTCTTCCCAACGGCCTCTTGGGAAAACAAGTAAGTGCCTGTTGTAGAAAGCAGGCTGTTATGGGGAGGAGGAGGAGTAATATGGGCATTTCTCTTTTGAAGGAAGTACATCGTTTATTTCATAATTTTAACATTACATTGTGTTCTGTTACATTCAGCCCACAGGCAGGCTTCTCGTTTGTAATACGATCGACAGAGGCCACAAACAATCTAGAATTGCATCGAATTTACTTCGAGCTCTGTTATGAGAAAATTCGCTGTTGCGCAGTCTTTTCTTTATTATTTGGAAAACTACAGAAAAAACCAACAGTAGGCTCTTTTCAGTTGACGACCAGGTATTTAAATATTCTACTTTGTACATTACCGATTCTTTGAATACCTGTACATGTGCAACGCCGTTTCACTAACTTTCATTTAGTAGACAAAGAATTCGTTATCTTGTCCTTTTGAGTTTCGCTTCCGTATGTTAGTTTCCACGGAAGCCAGCCAGCTGAACTGTTTCTCAGTAATGAAGTTTAATTTCGTTTAACTAAGTATTTCACTTTTAACTTTGTTCTATCTTAATTTCAAGCTGTGAATGTTAACTCTCTATTTTAATTTTGAAAACTTCGTAGTGTTGATTAGAATTCGCTATCTTAATTAAAGTACTTTCCGCTCGTATTGTATGTTAGAAGTTGCATTATCATATTGTAAACACTTGACGTGTAAAGGATGATATATAAGCAAGTGCGTTTGTAAAGCTTTTTCGATTACATTGATTACAACGCCGATTACATACTCAACTTTATCAGAGTGCAGAATAAACTACTGTTTGACCAAGTTATGTCTCTTCCTTGACGTCCATAGTGAAGACCATTGAAGTAGATCCTCGTGTACCAGGAAATCGCGACGAATTTCCGTTCCCGCAGGCAAGCAGTGCTCTCCAGAGTTAGATTCCCCCAGTTGTCAGTTCAAGTGTCCGTTCCGTCCGAATTTTATAGTATTTGCAGGAAAAACCTATCGTCACAGCTTTAAGCAAATGAAATTATTTCCGACAACTTTGGCACATGATACTAATTGACTTAAAATTTATAGTTTATCTGACTGTCCTTGAAGACGAAGTGAAAAGACTGTAGACTTGACAAGATCTTGTCTTTGTGTCCTGTGTTATGTCGTGAAAATGAGCCTGATTCCTGCCAGAATCACTGCCGCCACATGATTATATTCAAATTTAGTTTCCATTTGAATTTAGTTTCCACGACGTTAACAATAACCAGCACGAAGTCTTGAGAGACTAACTTATGCTGTCCAAGTTAACCGAAGACACCTTTATGTAACATTTGACTGGAATGTAGCCCAATGGCTGAACTGGAAGTGCCCTGCTAATAAGCGACTTACCACTGAACGGTTTCGCACTGAGCAGTTTTCGGTAAAGGAGTAGATTTCAATTAATTTCCAACAGCACAATAATTGTAAAGCTAGTTCAATCAGTTTGTTATGCACCAGCTCTTAGAACATTTGAATAAGAAATGAACTTGTTTTGAGGATGTGAAAAGAAATATCCTTAGAATTTCCTTTATACGTTTAG